CCTCACATTTATCCAAATTATACTCCAACTGCCAGTCCTCAGCCCATTGGTCCAATTGATCAAGATCTCTTTGTAGTCTTAGATAACCTTCTTCATTGTCCACTGTGCCACCAACTTTGGTGCCATCTGCAAATTTACTAACCATGCCTCTTAAATTCTCATCCAAATCATTTATATAAATGACAAACAAAAGTGGACCCAGCACCAATCCCTGTGGAACACCACTGGTCATTGGCCTCCAGTCTGAAAAACTCCCTCCACCACCACCCTCTATCTCCTACTGTCAAGCCAATTTTGTATCCAATTGGCAAGCTTACACTAAATCTATTGTCATCTAACTTTGCTAACCAGTCCACCACGCGGAACCTTGTCAAAGGCTCACCAAAATCCATGTAGACAGCATTTACTGTTTTGCCCCCATCCATCTTTCTGGTCACATCCTCAAGCAAGTTTGTGAGACACAATTTCCTATGCACAAAGCCATGCTGATTATCCCTAATTAGCCCTTGCCTCTCCAAATTCATGTAAACCCTATCTCTTGGAATTCCCTCCAACAACTTACCCACCACCAACGTCAGACTCACAGGTCTATAGTTCCCAGGCTTCTCCTTACAACCTTTCTTAAATAAGGCCACAACATTAGCCACCCTCCAGTCCTCTGGCCCCTCACCTGTGGTTATAGATAATATAAATATCTCAGCTTAAGGGCCTGTAATTTCCTCCTTAATTTCCCACAATTTCCTGGCATACACTTGATCAGGTCTCAGAGATTTATCCACCTTTTATATTTTTTAAGACTGCCAGCACCTCCTCTTCTGTAATGTGGACTGTTTTCAAGATATCAATATTTATTTTCCCAAGTTCCCTAGTCTTTCTCCATAGTAAATACTGATGCAAAAAATTCATTTAGCATCTCTCCCACCTCCTGTGTTCCACACTTTATTGATCTTTAAGGGGCCCTATTCTATCCCTAGTTGCTCTTTTGCTCTTAATGTACTTGGAAAATCTCTTTGCATTATCCTTAACCTTATCTGTCCACGCTATTTCATATCCCCTTTTTTTCCTTCCTGATTTCCCTCTTAAGAATGACACTACACCCCATATACTCTTCAAGAGATTCAGTTGATCCCAGCTGTCTATACCTAACATATGCCTCCTTCTTATTCTCGAGCACAGCCTCAATATCTTTATTCATCCACTCCTACCAGTTCTCTACTCCTACCAGACTTACCCTTCACTCTATTTGAAGCATTCTGCCTCTGCATTCTTGTTATCTCACTTTTGAAAGCCTCCCACTTGCCAGTCGTCCCTCTTACCTGCAAACAATCTACTCCAATCAACTTTTGAGAGTTCCTGTCTCATACCATCAAAATTGGCCTTACTCGGTTAAGAACTCTAACTTTTCTGCAAGGCCTATCATTTTCCATAGCTATTTTAAAACTAACAGACTTATGATCACTGGTCCCAAACTGCTCCCCCACTGACGCTCCAACCTCATTTCCCAACAGAAGTTCAAGTTTTGCTCCTGCTCTAGTGGGTACATCCACATATCGATAAAATAAATGTTCTTTTTTTTTTATTCATTTATTCATTCACGGGATGAGGGTGTCACTGGCTAGGTCAGCATTCATTGCCCATCCCTAATTGCCCAGAGGGCAGTTATGAGTCAACCACATTGCTGTGGGTCTGGAGTCACATGTAGACTACACCAAGTGAGGATGGCAGTTTCTTTACCTAAAGGACATTAGCAAACCAGATGGGTTTTTCCGACAATCGGCAAAGGATTCACAGTCATCAGTAGACTCTTAATTCTAGATGTTTATTGAATTCAAATTCCACCATCTACCATAGCGGGATTCGAACCCAGGTCCCCAGAACATTACCTGGGTCTCTGGATTAACAGTCCAGTGATAATACTGCTAGGACATTGTTCCCTTCTTGAACATATTTAATAAATTCCTTCCCATCCAAGCCCTTAACACTACGACAGTCCCAGTCCATGTTTGGAAAATTAAAATCTCCTACTGTTATTCTTAAGTGTATCTGAGATCTCCCTACGTAATTGTTCCTCAGCTTCCAATGATCATTGGTAAGCCTGTCAAGGTGATCGTCCCCTCCTTATTTCGGAATTCCACGCATATAGCTTAACTGGACAATCCCACAGGAATACCCTATCCAAGTACAGCCGTAATGTTTTCCCTAATCAAAAACACTACTCCCCCTCCTCTCTTACCTCCCTTTCTATCCTTCCTATAGCATCATTGAATTAACTCCCCAGTTGGGAATACATTTGGCATCACATTTTCAAACAAGGAATGAATGTGTATGGAGCTTTTGCTCTGAAAGGATTGCGAACAGAGTTCATCATTTTTTTAATGCTGGAAAATCTGGTTCAGCAACAATAAGAAAGTCTTAACAAGCAAAAGGAAAACACTTCAATACTTCCAAGGATTTACGTAGAATTGCTTTCACCAGTCTTTTAGAATTTTGGATCGTAGAGACTGCAGTATGAAATTATGTACAGTTACTGCATTGGTAATCATATATTTTAGTAAGGTAACATGGTGTTGATTTGAATTTCTGACTTCGTGACTTCCAGCACTCTCAAGTAAATGCTATCAGTTCTAGGATCCGATATTATCACTAATCACTAGTAAGGACACACCCAATCTCTCTCAAACTGCCAATTCTTTAAATACTGTACACTGTCCTTACAAAATAGCATCCCTGGGGGCTAAAAGTAAGAATCTGCACTGGGGGGTAACATATTTTCTGCACTATAAACTCCTTTGATACATCAAATATTTCCACACAAACACAACACATACAGATGAAAGCAACAAATACTTTTATGAAAGTGACCAAAGCAATATAAGGCAATAATCCTCCCTATTAATCCAATGAGAAAGTCTTTGACCATTTACTCTAACTGATGATTTAGTTCATGAATCATTGGCCAGTGACAGACAGAATTTCTTTTATTACAGACTGAATTCAGTTTGTCTCCGCTTTGTGGAGTTGAATGATGAAATCTCTTCGTTGTGCACAAACTGTAGATTCAAAAATTCATCTCAAGGATCCTGTTGACTGAAATAATTGCACATTAACACCTAAATTAGCTCCTCCCTGGCTAATATATCAAAGAAAAGATATATGAGCCTTACAGGAGTACAATGCAGGTTAAGCAGAATGATAGCAGTGAAAAAGAAATAAAGTACTGGAAATACTCAACAGGCCTGACAGCACGAGTGGAAAGAGATGGAAAAATTTGGCCTCTTAACTCTGTTTTTCTCTCCATAGATGCTTCCAGTACTTTCTCTTTTTTTTCAGATTTCCAACATCCACACTTTTTGCTTTTACCTACAGTTGCCTGTTGCTTTTAAGTACATAGTTCTCATTGCATGGCATTATGCAACTGGAGCCACTGAAGTACCCATGCCACCTCCATAATCATCTCTGGATTAAAACATGATTGAAAATATTATTGTGTTACTACATCAAAATGTACCTGACCATAAAAGGCTCACCAGTTTTGGGGGAATCCGGAATCTGCCTGGGAACGTAGTTGAGACAGGAACCCTCAGCCAATAAAAAGGTGGGTGAGCACTTGAAATGTCGTAAGATTGTCACAGGGACCAAATGTTGAAAAGTGGGATTGATGTACATTTAGACTAGTGCTTTGTTGGTGACACTTGATGGGCTGAAGGGCCTCCTCTGTACAGTATGATTCAATGAATAAATTTCTTAAGAATATAAGAAATGGCCCTACAAGCCTACTCCTCCATTCACCAAGATAGTGGTCTTTAATTCCATTTACCTGTCTGCTGCCCACATAACCCTTGACTCCCTTATCAATCAAAACTTTGTTTAACTCAGCCTTGAATATATTCAATGACTCAGCCCACTGCGTCCTCTGGAGAAGGAAATTCCAAAGACAAACCCCCCGCCCTCAAAAAATATTTTCCTCATCTTAGTCTTAAATGGGAAGTCCTATTTTAAAAATATGTCTGATGGTTCTAGATACCCCCACAAGGGAAAATATCTTTTCAGCATTTATCGTGTAAAGTCCCCTCGGTATACTTGATATATTTAATGAAAACTTGGCTCCAGCAATAGTCCAAAAATAAGCATATATTGTATGACCGTGTTACAAATGTAATTGGAAAACTTATGCACTTGCTCGTGCAGAGGTTATCAGGCTGCATTTGAGTGTATATGGAACAATGAAATGTAGTTGGAAGCTCTCTCCAGTATCCAGCCAGTGCCCTGGGAGCCGCTCGCTGTCCATCTGCAGCCAGTGCCCTGGGAGCCGCTCGCTGTCCACCTGCAGCCAGTGCCCTGGGAGCCGCTCGCTGTCCACCTGCAGCCAGTGCCCTGGGAGCTGCACGCTGTCTGTCTGCAGCCAGTGCCCTGGGAGCCGCTCGCTGTCCACCTGCAGCCAGTGCCCTGGGAGCTGCACGCTGCTTGCCCGACTCTGTGAGGGTTCAGGGCGAATCGACAAACTACGAATCCCAGGAGGCAGCACGCTTTGACGCAAAGAGCGACGTAATGACGTAGAGGCCCCCTAAGCCCTTCGATGGTGTGGCGGTTGGCAACACGTGACTGTGGACGTGCGGGGCGAAGGCAACGGGCCCGGAGGCCGGGGATTGACCGAAGCCGGAGGGAGGGCCCGGGGACTGACCGAAGCGCCAGGACCGACTGGAGTCTGGAGGTGGTCGGGGCTCCCGGAGGCCGGGGACTGACCGGAGCCGGAGGGGGGGGCCGTGGGTGTGGGGACTGACCGGAGCCAGAGTGGGGGGGCGCGGGGTGTGGGGACTGACCGGAGCCGGGTGCGGGGACTGGGGTGCGGGGACTGACCGGAGCCGGGTGCGGGGACTGGGGTGCGGGGACTGAC